TTACTTAACGTGCGTTTTTATTCTCACCGATGTGCTCATCGATTAAGCGAAAATGTCAATTGGCTGTTTTTATTCTCATCAGTAAAACATCGATGGATTTCATCGGTCTGTTTTTATTCTCATCCTACACTTATCGGTGAAAGTACGATTAGCCAGCGAATTCATCGAGGTTCATTTAGGATGAACTGATGAATTATAACGTAAAATGTAACCTCAAAATTATGTTGACGATTGTTGATGGCCGACTGGCATCGTTTTGTTTTGCATTTATATTTATTATGTGAAGATTTGCGAAGACCTTAACAAAAAAAAAGGAAAAAGGGCATGTTCAAGTGATCTGAAAGGTGTGAAAACCAAGACCATACCAAACATAAGAGTTCTGAGCATAAGAGCGCCAAATTACCTAACTTTGTGACAAGTGAGAAATATATCTGAAATATCAAATCAAACTAATTTGTGAGGTCTTAAAGCTCAGCTAACTATCTCAGAGATAATTTTATTTCTAATATCTCACCTCCACTACAGTCCTAGTAAGTCTAAAATGAGACTTAACATCTAAATCACTATGCAAAGAACTACAGAAGAAATATAATTTTGTATTTTTTTATGTTTTCTACAATTCAAGTACAACTATTTCATCTGAAGAACTTCTAGACTCATCACTTGATGATGATGAAGAGCTCACAATTATTCTCAACTAACACTAGACTTCCAATCATTGTATGGCTAGGTTTTTTAAACAAATAAAAAAATAATAACACATTAAACAAACAACACAAATCAATGCCAAAAGTATCAATTCAAGTGTCAAAATCCATCGAAGTGTTTTTTAGTTGATTCATTTCATCAACAAAATTGCGATGAATTTTGATGACGTACTGCTCATCGGCGCTCATCGGTGATGGAATTCATCAGGAAAACTCGATGAGAATAAAAACGCACGTTTATTCTCAATGAACTATAACCAAAAACTGGAATGCTAACACATAAGGACGAACTTGAAGCCTAGTGCGGCTGCTGCGGAGGGGATACCTGTTTTTGTCGCACTCATTAGTTTAAATGGCGAAAATTGCTTCCAACACGTATTCCAATTGATGAAACCAGTGAAGGGAAACACAGAACATATCACCTATAGAAAAATATCTCAAATGGAAGAATCGCGACAAAGGTTTTTAGTTAGGTTTTCATTCAACGATGGCGACACTGTCGGGAGATAAGAGAAATTTACAGGTATCTGTGGCGTGGACAGTGATTTGTGTTGGTTGGTTTTGTCATTTATTTTGTCATTTTAAAAGTCAAAATTTGAATTTTTAAATTGTGTTGTTGTACCCCACGGTTTCTACGCGCGGTAAAGTGAAAATTCAAAAAGTTTTGGTTAAAAGAAAACCTAATTTTTGTTCGTATTTTTTTGTATTTATTCGTTTGTTTCGTTTCGTTCGTATTTGTATTTATTATTCGTATTTACTTTGCGATCTACCTATAACTGCGTGACTCTTGCTAACTTACTAACTCTTATTGCACTATGTTCGACATCGGAAACTTCCTGCCAGTCATAGTTTTTAAAAAAGTGAGGCGAAAAGAGCTAAGAGGAGTCAGCAAGCCAAATGCAGTTGAACATTAAAAATTATACAAAAATAATAAAAATATATGAAAAAAATCAATTCGCCTTTTTGTCAAGAATACTCGATTAGTTGGGTTTTCAGTCAACGAGGGCGCCGTAATTCATAACCGGTACATACCATTGCAGATACTTTTCTAGAGGTGATATGTTCTGTGCAGCGAGCAACAGAAAAAAACAACATTCCCCCTTGTGGCATCTGTCTTTCATGGCTTCATTTTTTTGGCAGATATGGCAATGTGTGCGCATTCCAGTTTTTAGCTATAGTTCATTGCTTATTTTATTTATTTATGAAAAAAATTTACTAAGCCCGCATACGGCGCCATGTATTATAACCGATACCAAGTTTATTTTGTATTTTGTATACCGCGCCATCTCTGATACCCGGAACGAAACTCGGCATTGCAGATACAGTAGAACAATGCTGCTCAGGAACTGGAGCTATTTCGAACAGAACTATTCGACTATTCCGATATTCCGATCAGATAATAATTCAGAGGCGGTACGAAGTTCGCCGGGTCAGCTAGTAATGCATAAAAATCTCCTTGACTAATTCTACTATCATTCATTTCAATGCATTTAATTCATAGTTTGACAAATATTTGACAATAAAATTCATATAATAGGACAAGAGCTAATGTGATGCTGTCCCAGTTACTTTTGGTGACGATGGTACGTTTCGTAGTCATCATATTTAGGGTTTCTTCTTATATTCCTTCTCAAGTTATATTTCGCATTCACCAGTTCTTCATTTAATCTGAATCTATTTCATCATCTCCAGGTAATAAACTCTCATCACTATGTATATCACTTTCATTCAATATGACATTGTTTTCATCATTTCGTACATCTTCTGCCTCAGATTCACAGTCTTTTTGAATATCTAATATCTCATTCACTTCTTCCATTTTTTTGAGGCTTTTCTGGTAGGAAAATAACGTCCCATGAGTTTCAACTTTGTTTTCTGAGGAATATACACATACTCTATTTCCAAAAACATTAAAGTTTTCTAATTTATATTCTCTTTTATGCCATAGTTCATAAGAAGTTTTAATTTTTGTAGGGCTTGGTCCTGCACGGTTTAGAGTGTATGAGACAGTATTAATTGCTTCTGCCCAAAAGATCTTTCCCAAATTTTTATTGCTATTTATCATGGTTCTAGCAGCTTCTACCAATGTGCGATTTCCTCTCTCAGCCCTACCATTCTGTTGAGGTGTAGATACCACTGTACGTTGGTGGCATACACCTTTGTTTTGCAAAATCTTTGTTACCTCTTTGTTCATAAACTCTAGACCATTGTCTGTCCTTAGCACCTTCATTCTTGTTCCTGTTTGCCTCTCAGCCATTAATATAAATTTTTCAATCACTTTTGGCACTTCAGATTTCTGGTTTAGAAAGTAAATATTTCTGTATGAGGAATGTCATCCTTGAAGAGTATGAAATATCGAGCACCACCTAGTGAAGGAGTTTCCATTGGTCCACACACATCCGCATGAACCAACTCCAAAGTTTCTCTGGCTCGAGACTGACTGTTCTCAAAACTTGATCTATGTTGTTTACCGGCTAGACACTGTTCACAGATAAAATCTTTTTCTATGTCTATGTACTTCCGGGCTTGTGCAGAAATATAATACTCCAAATCCTTTATCAATGTGTGTACAGGAATCTCTTTATCACCTAAAGGAAGTCCAAACTTAGGGCTCAAAGATAGCATAGTCTTTGCATCTTTTAGGAGCTCTATATGTGTATAATTATATATAAATTTACTATTCCCACTGATGCATAGTTCGTTCTGCTGTACTTCTATAGCTTCTAGTTTTTTTATATTTATAAGTCTAACTCTCTTCTATATCTTCTATTGTTCTCATCAAAACATTGTGAATAAATCTCCTCAGGCATAAGGTTTTTAGATATAGTCTTTTTTGATACTTGTATTTCTTTCTTCTAATTTTTTTAACTTCTAGATGGTGATATTAATTTCTAAGTTAAGCAGTGATTTTTTAATTTTTGAAGTTATTCTATCCGCTTTTTTCAAAAACGGGTGATCATCTAATAATATTGGATACATACATTTAGTATTCCCTGCTAGATGTTTAGTTATCAGATTTCTTGATCTACACTTCTCCTGTTCTTGAGTTTGACTATCTTCACTACGTTAATTAATTAATAATATATTTATAATATCCCTACTTCAGGTCATACCAAAAACTCTGTTATTTATGTTAAAAACATGTGAAACCTGGCTGTATCGCCATCTACCAAACCAAATTTACAAGCACTGAATGTTTTATGGAAGGAATTTGCGAGAAAGTCAATACAAGCTTTGATGAAATGATAAAACTGATTGAAACGACATCTTTAATTTTTCGGTTGAACCATTGCTGTGATGCTAAATATCGAAGCTTGAATACCTAAAATTGATTTTCAAATACATAGGTATATTGAATTACAATGATAATGTGGATGATATAGTTTATTATCAACAATTAATTCTTGGATATACATTATTTTAATCCCAAATTGTAAACATTACTTAGGCAATAATTCCATAATTTATTTAAGTAACAAACTTACTTAATATACACGTCAGTGTTAAATTACATTTTCATTTTCTGTTATCTTTATTTTACTTCCTCATAATGATAATAATAATTGAAAGCATCACCAGTTTGATGCACACGTGGGTGTAAAAATATTAGATTTTATAACAAGGAATAAATATTTGTGTCCCTACCTAACAAGTGCAGGTTGAAAGTAAAAGTTCATACTCATTATCAAATTACCCAAAGTGACTTTTAATGATAATCACCTCAAGTGTAAGTATTTTTAAATAGTATTTGCATTCCAACTAAATAATGTGCATGTGTGTCTTGCATGTGTATCAAATTAATTATCGTTTTTATCAATGGCATGTATCAGGCAGCATAAAAGGGAAAAATTAGCCTACGTTACTATGCCAGAGTCAGAAGCCCATTGACAGATCACTAAAAAATGTGGCGCAAAAAAAGAAAACTTGGTATTGAGGGCATGCGCTCGGAAATTCAGAACGAATACACGATCAGATAGATAAGGACAGTTTTCGCAAGAACACCTATGTATATTGGTTTATTTTTTTTGGAACATTTACTTATTTTTGGAGACAAAAAATCTAAATAAGACAATATTTCTGAAAACTATAAGAAGCTCTCTATGGACACCTTGATGCTCTATAATTACATCATTTAAGTCATCAAAATAGAACCAGCTACTTCCAATTTGTTATAAAACATAATCCTGGCAAAGGCAAGTAATAAACATCAGAATAGTCGGAAATCTCTCTTTTCGGATTCTCGTCCTGCGTGCAGCCGTTCTATGGAACTATCGATTTCCAGAGGATGGCAGGGTGCTGTCGGTAGCCATATTGGCTAGTCCCTATCGTAGATTCTCTGGATGAATATTTCGATCGTTGAAAAACATTGCATTGTTGAAATCTTGCTAATTGTGAACAATAATTGCGAAATGATTCGGGTACATTAGGAATTGTATATTGAAAAAGACTCACAGGTAGGATAAGATATTTCTATAGAGCTTCTTACATAAACTTTTTGATGCATTATCAGTAGTTGTTTTTATGCGACGAAGTCTAACTATTTATTCTATGCAAAAAAAAAATATGTTAAAATGTTCCAATGGATCATAGGTGCATTATTAATAAATATTGCTCTTGTGCCTCTTGTATGGTAATAGCCAATAGTTGAAATTTTATTGAGCTCTGCTATTATTTTTCCAAAATATTTCTGTAAAGACCAAAGAGCTTGCCTTTTATGCTTACTTCCCATTTTTATTAGTTACATTAGAAAAAAAATACATTTTTACAAAATAATGTTGAGGAAAATGATGTTCAAGAAGATTTTCAAGCATATCGATTTTGTGATATGGCCGTTAGTTAGTTCCAGGAATTTTCTTGGGTTGAAAATACTATTTGTTTTGATACATTTAATGTTGCACTATCAATTTTAAAATAAAGACGTAGATATTTTTTGAACTGTGGAAGCCGGAGCTTCTTTTTGGTCAGCCGCGTCTTCTTCCCCTCTGGCATTCACTCAATTATTTGCTGGGATATTCTCGTATCTGCCATTCTTTATACATGTCAAATTCGGTTGTTTATCTTCGTTTTCATCTATTATTGGGTGCCTCGGGTTCAAAATTTCTTTAATATTCTGTATTATTACCCTTTCCATTTTTGACCTGCACTTCTCCAAAAATCCATTTCAATATTGTTTCCATTACGGCAGTACTTTTCCGGTTATTCTGTCCTACAATTTGAACTATGCAACTATAGGCATTAAAGTCAAATATTTCTATACATACATTTTGATGTGTGTATTTTTGAAAAGTGTTGGTGTCATGCAGCATCCCTGTTTAAGTTATTTAGTTGTTGACTGTAAAGCCCTTGCTGATTAGTTACCATTTAATTTCGGATTTGCGTAATTATAAAGGGTGTCAGTTGGCTTGATTAATTCTTTTCATAGCTCATTTAGTGGGATATTGTCATACCTATGCCTTTTAAAGATCTGCATGCATGTTTGGAATAGTTTTGTATGGCATGTGTGAAGTTTATTGCTCACATCCTTTATCATTTCTTCATATATTTTTCATGCGCCTGGCCCTTTTGCATTTTTCAAAAAGCGACAGTGCTTTTTTACTTCTGCCATCATAATTCTTATTGGTGATCCGATAGTTTTTATGTTTTGTGTCCGTTCTCTGTTCTTTTTCTTACTCAAACTATCTTCGTTATTCTGTCAGTTATTTTTCGAAATACTTACTGTCATGTTTTAGATGTTAAATAAATATGATATGCGAATTAAATATAACTTTTATTCAAATTAATTACTAGGTTTATTAAAACGACGAAATTTGACCAAACGCGTACTTGACATGGAATGTCATACAACTACCTATTCATAACATCCTTTTTTTTTTTCTACGAAACAAAATATGACTAATATTTTAAGTTCAAGAAACAAAATCATTCAGATATGTAGGGGCTTTTACAATACGACCAGACCCTGAAGGTTCAGGTTGTTCTGTTTCTGATAACCTCATATCAGTAACATTAGTATTTTTCTCTTGTTTTGTATTTTTAACAGAAGTAGGTGAAAACTGTTTGTCATTTAAAGATACTTCATTTTCCTGGGTACTTTCTCTAGTTTCTGATGTACTTACTTTGTTTATGTAACTCATCAAAATCTAGTTGCAATCAGTTTCCAACTTTTCATGGGCAGATGCTCTAAAAATATTAAAACGATTTCTCTCCACAGCATTACCACTAGAAAGTCTCAACCAATAACTTCTAGGTCTATCTGCTTTACCAACAACTTTTGCCAGCATTATATTATTAACATTAACTTTAATATACACAATTTCTTTATTTTGAAAATCCAAAGGTTAACTATTTTTTTTCAGGTCATAATAATATTCATAATTTTCTTGCCGACCTTGGAGTTGAGATTTAACTAACTCAAGAACATTAGTAATAATAACCACTCTCCGTCTTGAAGGTTTCAGGGGTAGGTAAAAAGGCATTCAAATTTCTACCGAAAACAAGTTCTGTATTCAATCAAAGCCATGTATAAATCAGTACCTGAATGTTTCTGCTTTTTTCAAAAGATTCTTAAAAGTTTGTACATTCCTTCCTACCATCCCGTTTGATTTAGGATACCGTGGACTAGATGTTACATGTCCAAGTTTTTTCAAAATCCAGAAATTTATGATTAGAAAAATGATGTGTAAATTGAGTTCCACAGTCAGAATATGAATGCGTTCATTACAAAATATTCGCAAATTTACTGATTGTCCTCAGTTCATAAGTTATTTCTGCAGATATAGAAAAATTTACAAAAGTGTTTTAAAAGCAGCTAAAGAAAAGTTTTATCAGAATAGAATAAACTCCTCCAAAAATGCCAGCAAAGAAAACTGGAAAATAATTAATCAGTTAACTGGTAAAAACTCAGTTCTTCAAACAGATGTTAAATTAGATCCCCATATTCTCAACAACTTCTACTGTAGTGTTGCTGATACTTTACAACAAAACTTGAAAAGTAATGTGGATCCTGGTTCTTATTTATTGGATGTTAAAATAAATGACACATTTGTACTGGAAACTACAAACGTATTAGAACTTAATGAAATCTTTAGAGGAATAAAAAACAATAAATCCAGTGGGCACGATAATGTTTCATTAAATTTGCTTAGAAACTTGCCTGATAATGCATTATATGTCTTGTCTGAATGTATTAATATTTCATTTTTAACAGGAGTATTTCCAGACTGCCTGAAAAAAGCTATTGTGTTGCCTGTTTATAAGGGTGGCGATTTGGACAACCCATGTAATTATCGACCAATATCACTTCTCTCGACGTTGTCAAAAATAGTTGAAAAGTTAGTTAAAGAAAGAATGTTGAAATATTTTTCAAAACACAACATAATAAGTGACACTCAATTTGGATTCCATCCATTAAAGGGCACCCATGATGCAATGTTTAATCTTTTGGAACAGGTATTCGTCAGTCTTAATGAAAGTGAGCTTGTCTCCGTTGTGTTTTGTGATTTCTCTAAAGCCTTTGATTGCGTAAATCATAAAATAATGCTTAAAAAACTAGAAATTTATGGCTTTGGAGGAATCTCATACTCATGGTTTGAATCTTATTTCTCGGGAAGAGAACAATTTGTTAAGATTGGTGATACTCAGTCATCAAACTTGGCTGTGACCAATGGTGTCCCACAAGGATCTGTGTTGGGACCAATATTGTTTTTACTTTATTTAAATGATATTAATCACCTCCCCATTAGAGCTAAAATAACATCATTCGCTGATGACATTACTCTGTCCTGGAACGGAAAAAATATTGAAGAGTTGAAAAAGATTATTTCTGAAGACCTAAATCTTGTAAAGAGCTGGTGTGACTCTAACTTGCTTTGTTTTAACTCTAAGAAAACCAACATATTGACATTTAAATTTTTTTTTGATGATTTATTATTAGACACACACACAATTGAAAATAAAACTAGCTGTAAATTTCTTGGTGTTTATGTTGATACTCAACTTAAGTTTAATGAGCACGTTACAAATCTAAACAAACGATTGGCAAGTGGTTGCTATGCTGTAAGAATAGCGTCAAATGAACTTGGTTTGAATACTGCTAAGTTGGTTTATTTCTCGTTGGTTGAATCTCATATCAGGTATGGCATTGCATTTTGGGGTAACTGTTCTAATAAATTGTTTGATTCTGTTTTTGTCATTCAAAAGAGAGCAGTGCGCTATTTGTGTAAGGTTGGATATTGGGAGCATTGCAAGCCACTATTTTTAAAACATAAAATACTTACAGTATGCTGTATATTTATCATGGAAACTGCTTGCCTTATGCACAAAAAACATTATGATGAGTTAGAATATCCAAGAACTTATCCAACTAGGCAACTTCTTAAAATTCAGCTTCCTATACCCAAGACTGCATTGGCGCAAAATTCACTAATTTATAAAAGTAGGCTAATTTTTAATCATCTGCCTGTTAACTTAAGGCAGATAGGTGGTTTTAAAAAGTTTAGACTAGAGCTCAAAACATTTTTACATGGAAAAGCCTACTATCATATTAATGAATTTTTAAATGAAAAATTTTAATTTTGTTTGTTTCATTGTTTTGTTTTGTTCTGACCGCAACCTTCATGTTTTTTCTGTATTGGCTGTACCTTCTATATGACTCTATAGTTTGATGTAGTAAAAATTGTACATGTGTTGCTTAGGATTATGCTTTGACATTTATGTTTATGTTTATTTTTTATTTTATTGATTGTACCTCTTTTTGTTTTTTTATAACCCGATAATTTTTAATTACTTGCACATTATTTAAGATCATGCTTTGTCAATGAAATTTATTTTTCCGACAATAAAGTATATTTTGATTGATTGATTGATTGAATATTTAGGAGCTCCAAATCTTGCAAAATGACTTTTTAACTGTACTATCATATGTTCCGTTGTTTCACGAGCTAGTTCCCTTATTTCAATGAATTTTGAAAAATAATCTACTATTAAAAGAAAAGGTTTGCTTTTGAAATAGTAAATATCTGTACCAATGCTTTCCAATGGTAAATTAGGAGCTTCTCGAAGCAACATATTTTCCCCTCTATAAGTTTTTTGGAATTTCAAACATGTATGACAATTTCTAATTTTATCTTCAATTTCCTTAATCAAAAGGCCAATATAATATACGTCTCGCTCGGTTTTCAGATTTTTCCGATCCCAAATGACTTAAATGAATTAAATTTAACATTTCTTTTCGCAGATTTTTTGGGACTAAAACACGAGAATCTTTGAATATCAGATCATTAGAAACATATTATAGGTTATCTTTAATTGGAAAATAAAATCCGAATTCATTTGGAACTTGATTAGCATTAGGCCAACCATTTTCAATATAATTTTTTAAGGCAACTAATTCCGAATCAGCCGCAGTTTCTTTCTGAAATAATTTTAATTTTTGGCCGGAAAAAGGTAAATTTGA